GACCCACAGGGAGGAGCTGGGGGTGGAGGCCAGCAGTGTTTAGTGGGGACAGAGTTCTAGTCAGAACAGATGGAAAGTTCTGGAGACAGCTGGTGGTGATGGCTGCACAGGAATGGGAAGGCATTTAATGCCCCTGAACTGGACACACACAAATGGTCAAGACTGTGAGTTTTATGTTATGTGTATTTTAATACAATAAAAAGAAGGGGAGAGATCCGGTGTCAGCCACCGCCCTGGACCTGGCAGAGACACAGACAGCAGCAGAGAGCGGGGCAGATGACAAAGCCCAGCCCCTGCCCCCCCGGCCACCCTGAGCCCTGACAGCCTCCTTGCAGCCAGCTCACAGGTGTGGGGAATACGGGCAGAGGTCACCCACCTACTGGCAGGCACCTGGCCCAGAGCAGCGGTGACTCAACAGCTGGAGTCCAAAGCTGGCCACGGCAAGGAGGGTGGGGCCAGTCCACCCCACCCCCACCCCATCCCCCACCTTAGAGGAGAGGCATCTGGAACTCAGGCCCAGCTTACACACCCTGCCAACCCAGCAGCTCCAAGTCCACTCTGGGGCCATCTCAGCCTACTGGGTCTCCCCCAGCATGGCAAACACGGGCGGCTGTGCCTCCCCTGCAGGGGAGGAGGTGAGGGCAGCCACTCCCCAGGCCCCTATACATGGAGTGGGCAGGATGGGCAGGCATGAGGGTCCTCCTGGCTTGTGGCCGAGTGCAGAGCCACTTAAGGAACACAGCCTGAAGGTTCCCCAACCTGTCAAACATAGAATCACCTGGTGACCCAGCGGTCCTGCTCCCGAGTCTACCCCAAAGACTCAAGAGACTTGCACACCTGTGTTCACGCAGCCAAGAGGTGGAAGCAACCCAGGTGTCCACGGATGGATGAGGACAAAGTGGTGGTGCAGCCACATCACAGGAATGGTAAGAAAGCATGAAGCACGGACATGCAGTCCAACAGGGGTGGACAAGCACAGACAGCATGCTGATGGGAGTAAGCCAGAAACAAGATGAACACTGCAGGGCCCCACTCGAGCCAGGTCTTGGAGCCGCCAGCCACACACACACACACACACACACACAAACACACACACAGAAGACGGCAGCGCTGGGGCTGGGGGAGCACGTGGGGGTCCGCAGTCCAGATTTACAGGAGGATTAGAGCAGTAGGGACGGTGTACAACAGTGTGAATGTACTTAATGCCACTGCACACTTAAGACGGTGCCCGGTGCCACAGTCAGTTTGAGCATCTGACTCTTGGTGGGTTGTTGTTTTTTTTTTAAGATTAATTAATTAATTTATCCATGAGACACAGAGAGAAAGAGGCAGAGACACAGGCAGAGGGAGAAGCAGGCTCCATGCAGGGAGCCCGATGTGGGATTCGATCCCGGGTCCCCAGGATCATGCTCTGGGCTGAAGGTAGGCACCAAACTGCTGAGCCACCAGGGTGTCCCTGACTCTTGGTTTTGTTTGACTCAGGTCACCATCTGCCGGTGAGGGGATCAAGCCCCTCCCAGGGCTCCCTGCTCAGCAGGAGTCTCTGCTCCCCTTCCCTCTCTCCCTCTGCTTGTGTACACACGCACTATCTCAAATAAATAATCGTTAAAAAAAAAAAGATGGTTAAAATGGTAACTTTTATGCATATTTTGCCACAATAAAAATTTCGTTGAGGCGCCTGGGTGGTTCAGTTGGTGAAGCATCTACCTTCCGCTCAGGTCGTGATCCCAGGGCCCTGCATTGGGCTCCCTGCTCAGCGGAGAGTCTACTTCTCCCTCTGCCTCTGCTTGTGCCCACACTCTCAAATAATTAAATAAAATCCAGGTGGGCTGCTGCCCTGACGATAGGTGCTGCCTGCCCAGCCCACCCCTCAGCAGCCCCCTGACAGTCACATGCTCACCCAGGGGACCCTCTCCCAAAAGAGGCCAAATTCCTGAAATTCCTCACCACCAGGCGGCTTCTGTCCTGGCTGACAGCAAGTTGGAAGAGTCATGTCTGCCTTGAAGCCTCTGGGGGCCAAGTGAGCAGGTTCTGCTCTGAGGTCACCTGCGTGGCAGTGCAGGCACATCCTCACTGGCGGCTAAGCTGCAAGGACCGTCTCCCCAGGCCACTCACGGCCAGACCCTCCGGTCCCGGCTCCGGAAAACATACCTGGAGCAGCCCAGCCTCCATGCAGCCAGCCCAAACCATCTGTCTTGTCAGAAACGAAGACCTCCTCCTCACTGAGCTGACATGCAAATCAGAAAGCCCAGGTGCTCTCAGAATTGGTTTTACCTGGTCCTCCAGGCAATTCAGATGCCCAGGTGACATGCATCAAAGTACCACAAAATGATCCACCCCCAAACCCAATTAAGGACCTGAGAGCCCTAAATCCTTCCAGAGCATCGGACCTGAGCCTTTAAGGGGAGAACCTATCATTTGTCCCAACTAGGCAGGCTGCTTGGAGGAAGTGCAGAGGCCTCCCCAACCTCTCTCTCCAGGCGGAGACCCCACTAGGCCTTGCAGAGCAAGAGATGCACTCGCACCCACTCCCCCAGGGCTATCAGGAGAAACACTTCTCTGGGAGGCTGTTAGCCTGCTCCTATGTTTGGGGTGGGGGGCCACTATTGGAGCAGGTTCTGGAGGTCTGCAGGGACTCCTTCACCCCAAGGCTGCCTCCGACCTAGGAACCTTTGCATGGCCAGCTGGCCAGGTCTGCCCAAATCTACTGCCAAACCCTCCAGGCCTGCCCTTATGTCCTGCTGTCCAGAGCCAATGCCCAGGGACCCTCGCCCCAGCCATGCCCTGCTCCTGGCTGGCTGTGGTCAGGCAGGCAGCCATGAGCCAGCCCGTATCACCATAGAGTGGCCCTCAGCCGCCTGTCTGGGATGCAGCAGGCACAGTGGCACAGAACCTGGACAGACCAGGCAGCCTCATCTAAGCAGCAGAGCTGTGGGCGCGCATTCCACGGGGGTCATGAGGGAGGAGGCAGGGCAACAGGCCTCTCCCCCCTGGAGCAGGGGGAAGGGTAGGAAGGGAGGCAGGGCTAGAGCATCAAGAGACCTGCTCTGCCTCTGAAGCACCACGTCCCTCAAAGGGGCTCAGGTGCCCCAGCAGTGAAATAGAGGCGATCACCAGCATCTCGTCTGCTCCACAGGGCTGCCAGACAGATGAGGCAAGATGCTGGTGTCACGGGCCAATTCTGACAAACCAGAGGCTTGGCCCAATGGGTAAGACTTGGGTAAGACTCGTAAGAACTGACTGGTCAAGAGCCCAGCATGCCTGCCTTGGGGCAGTGGCCTCTTGCTGAGTGGGTGGGCTGTGCACAGCAGGGCCCAACAGGCCAGGAAGCCCCCTATCCCACTTGCCAGGGTGCCCCCCCCCATCCTGAGGTCACTGCAAGGAGGCTCTGGGTCTAAAGAAGCTGCTCCTGAGCACTATAACCAGAAAGGAGAGGGACAGGGTCAGCTCCCTGGCCCCCAACCTCCAGCCCATGGCTGAGAGCTGAACACACTGGCTGCCCTTTCTCATCTGACCTCTCCCTGGTGTGGCCAGCTTTCCTGAACAAGTGAAAATACTACGGTTTGGAAGAGAGAGGTGAGGGGAGTATGAGGTGAGCCAGCCAGCTGGGGGAGCTGGACACAATAGTGATGCCAATGCTGCCCCCACAGCACCATCAGGGTGAGCCCTGCAGCTCCCCAGCTCAGGAGGCCGGGGAAAAGGCCACCACAGTCTGCCCGGATTTCAGAGAAGCCTGTCCCTGGCTCTGGGATGCTCAAGCTCCTGGTATAGCCTTTCTGGGCAACACTGAAGCTGACCAGCAGATTCCCAGGACCTGGGACTGCCAAAGACCTCTCCCAGCCCTGTCGGTGGGCAACAGAGGAGAGCTGGGGACAAGGTCTCTTTTGAAGTGCCTGCTGACTGCGTGTCTCAGACTGGTGTCTCAGGACAAATGCGATCCCCCTTCTAGGGGGGCTTTAGCTACTCCATGGTGTGCTAGGTTTATTCTGAGGAGTTTGGGCTAGGAGCCCCCAGTGGAGTGTCCAGTGTCCCTCTGGAGTGCCTGGGGAACAGCCCTTGAGGGGGGTCACCCTCCACTCGGGGGTCGCATGAGTAGGTGAGGCTCTGGGGCTGTTTCTGCCCCACCCCCACCCTCAGCAAGGACCAGGGGGTGCTGCCCATGGCTCAGAAGCAGGGTACTGCTGGCTTGAAAGCACAGCCTATCCCCTTCCTGCCAATCCCAGGACAAATAGGCCCAGGAAGGGAGGGGAAGCTCTTCAGGACTCTGGCGCCTTGGAAATCACCCCAGAGCAGGGCCACCCAGGAGCAAAGTCCAGGAGATGCCTGCCAGGAGGATGGGTGCAGGTGGACTGGGAGCTTGTTACAGGCTGCACCCGCCCCCCCTCCCCCCCCACCTGAGCTGGCCACCTGCCCCAAAGCAGTCAGGCACCAGGGTGGGGAGAGGGGAGCCCTTTCCCACTGGCCTTCCTCCCCCAGCCCCCTGCTCAGGGCAGAGCAAAACGGTGGCTCCCGGTGGGGAGGCCATGACGTCACCTCCAGGTGGCAGGGAGCCAGGTGGACCCCCACACCCACGCACAGAAGCCCCGGGGCCAGATCGCCCTTTCTCTCCCTGCAGCTGCTCGCCCGCGCGATTTCCTCTTTCTCTGCGGAGCGAGGTTTCGCAACGCGGCGGTCCGCGGGTGACAGCGAGACACGCAGCCCGGGGGGAGGGGAGGCGACCCAGCCGCAGGCCCCGGGGCCGCTGGGAGGCGACCTCCGGCTCCAGGCAGGTGCACCCGGAGCCCGCGCCCCCCGGCCACGCAGGCGCTGCAGCAACCCTCCCTGTCCCCCAGGGGCCGGCATCCAGGCCGGCGCCCACCCCGGGCCGCACCCATCCCGGCCCCGCACCCACCCGGCCGGCGCCTCCCACGGGCGCACCCACCGCGACCCGCAGCCACCCGGGCCCCCGCGCCCCCGCGGACCGGCCGGGACCAGGGCGCAGCCGCCGGCCCCGCACCTACCCGGGGCGCCGCAGTCGGCGCATCGCGCGTTCCCGGGTCGCTGCAGCAGCTCCAGGACCGCCCTGCGCCGCTCCTTGGCCATGGCCGCGATGCCGCCCGCCGCGATGCCGGCCCGGGCCCGAGCGTGCGCCCCGCCGCGCTAGGGCCCCACGCAGCCCGCCCGCCGCCCGCGGCCCTGCGCCATCCTGGGCGGCCTCAGCCCGCGCGCCGGTTCCGCATTCCTGCCGCCGGCCGGCTCCTCCGCCGCTCGTGTCGCCGCCGCGGCCGCCGAGCGTGTGCCGGCGCGGGGCCCGGGGCGCACGGCGCGCTCTGGCCGGCACGGCCCGCGGGCGGCCCCCAGCGGCGCGGGCGGGCGGGCGGGCGGGCGGCGGCCTCTTTCCGCGCTCGGGACCCGCCCGGAGGTCTCCGTGCTGCCCACCCGCAGGCGAGCACAGCGCCACCGGGCGCGCTGGGGCGGGGGGGGGGGGCTGGCGCGGGCTCCGGTGGGCTCCTCCGGGGGCGCGCCTGGACACCGGGGTGCCTGGCCCGGCGGGCCGGCTGGGAATGCCGGCTGGGGGCAGGGGGCCAGCCCACGCCATGCCCACTCGGGGGGAGAAGATGGCCAGCAGGCCCCCGGGACAGGACAGCTGGGGCACCCTTAGCGAGTTAAAGCCCCTCCAAGTCAGGAGGCCAGGGACCCAGGAGTGAGGGTGAGGGGAGAGTCGCAGGGGACAGGTAACAACGTGGGCCCCTCCTCTGCACTTTTTCAAAATCTTTCCATCATCTTCTTAAATTATGAATGCAATGATACATACAATTGAAACAAGTATCACACTGAAGAACTGGAGCTACTCCCTACCCCATCCCAGGCAATTTTAAGCCAAACACTGTTAACAATCCCTGTGCATCCTTCCAGAATGGTCCCCAGCCTGTGAGAGCACCAGGGGAAGCCCTGATCCTTCTGATCTGCCGCTGCGTTATGGTGTTGTTTTTTGGTGGGTTGATTTGTTTTCATTTAATAAGCCTGACATATCTGCCAAATGAATCCATATGGACCTACTTCTTTCTCTCAGCTGGGCCATGATGTGTTACAGGCTGAGGGGCATTTAGGGCATTTTCAGGTGGTCAGTCATAGGCTCCACAACCCACCCTCATCCACCACCAACACCTCCGTGTTTCAAGTGGACTCGGGTCCAGAAGGGGCACCTACAAATCAATGGCAGACCTGCCACCTGCCCTCGTCAAGGTCACCCAGACCTTGTCCCACCACATCCCTGTTCCACTGGTGCCCCGGTCAACACAGGGAACATAGACATTCCAGAATCTTGTCCATTTTTTGCATAGAAAGTAGCAACACACTCTGGTCTGCATGTCTAAGCCACTAGTCCTGTGATGCAGTGTGGTTGACTGGTCACAAGTCTCTCCCCCATTCGTTGGAGCCTCCTGAGCAAAGACAGATGGCATTTCCATCTCTGGGTCCCCGTGCCAGGGTCAGGATCTGCCACCCAGCACAACGGAGATGTTAATAACAAGTCACAGCTACAGACTAATTGACTAGGCACCAGGCATAAGGTTAAATCCCTTGATGGATTTTATTTCACTCTCATCTGATGGGGAAACTGAGGTATGAAGCAATCCTATCAGTTGCCCAAGGCCACACATGGCTGCTACACGTCAGAACTTGGGTAAGCGCATGACCAAAGAAAAGAGGCACATACCCGGACAGCTGCCGGAGAGGACCATGGTTCCACGTGGGGGCAGAGGGGCCATAGAGAGGCCTCGGAGGACCAGCAGGTGTGCAGCAGGCAAGGAGGGAACCATGTGAGCCGTCCCCACCCCCACCCCCCCCAGGGGGCAGGTCTTCTGCCTTCTCTGTCTTTCCTTCTGATTGAGGAGGTGATGACACAGTCCAGGGGAGGGAGGGAGGGAGGGAGGCGGGTGGATGAGAAGAGAGAAGTCAGGATGTGAAACAGGAGTCCCCAAAGGAGGCGAGAGCAGGAGCTGCAGCCCCTGCCCTGGTGTTTCCTGGCAAGGGGGTGGCCCCCACTGGCTGTGGTCAGGGCTGCATGAGGAGCACAAGGCTCACACAGGATCCAGATGGTGACAGCACAGACGGGACTGGGCCAGAACCAGAGAGGCTGGCCAGGGAAGGCACAGGGTCTGCACACTTCCCTGCCTGCTCCTGCTCCTGCTCCTGCTCCTGCTCCTGCCTGCAAGCCCTGCTACCTCTCCCAGCTGTCCCTCATCTGCAAAGCTGTGCTGAAGGCCCCCAATCCCAGTTACTCAAGCATCTTCTGGGCCTGGGCAGGGGCCCAGCGAGACCTGGTGCCCATCTGCCCATGACCACTCAGCCACACTGAGCAAACAGTGAGCCCCCTGTGGGCAGGGCCCGCCTGCTCCACATCCCCACAGCACGGCGGAATCCTCACACAGCTGGCCAGCAGGCAAGGTAAGACCAGGGCCCCTTCCCGGCCTCATAGGGGCTAACTCTCCCAGGGAAGGAGTGGAATGGACGGAGGCTTCCAGGTATCAGAGCCAGTCCTGGACCTCTTGGACAGGATGAACCCTGTCCTCAGCCTGGCACTCAGCCTCTCCTGGTAGAGAAGTTACTTTCCAAAGGCTGATGACAGAGGTACTGCCAGGCTCCCTTCCCTGCTGACACACAAGTCATTGCCACCTCCTCCTTGAAGCCCTCCCAGACCAACCACACAGCATCTCCCAGATGAGACCCACACCAAGTGTCAGGATTTTGCCTGTGGACCCCAGGGCTCCCATCGCAGCCCAGAGTTTTGAGATCATCAGGCCCAGAGCAAGCCATGTTCTAACACCCCCTTGAGAATACAAAAGTAACCACCTCTCAATCATTTCCTGTCTTTCTATCAACAAGACCTTTTTATTGTACCAGCTGGATTTCTAAGGCCTCCAAAGCAGGGACTGATACAACCATCAAGAAACCGTTCTAGTCCTTGGAATCCCCTGCCAAGCCCTCTTTGGATGTGAGCAGCTTTGCAGCACGAGAATGGCACTTGGTTTCTGCCCAGCACTCCCATGTTTCCAGCCCTGGACAGGCTCCCACTGAGGTGGCTGGAAGCAGAGGAAGCACCATCCTTGCTGGCTTGCAGCTCAGGGGTGTGAGGTGGGCTGGAACTCAGGCCTTCTTGTCGAGACCTTCACTGGAGAGCAGGCCCCCGGCTTAACTGAGGGTCCCGGGATACACAGTGTTGGCAGGCATGGACGGAGACCCTCTGGCCCAGCCAGGGACACAGGATGGGGACTCAAAGCTGAAGGCACAGCTGCAGACAAAATGGAGAAACTGAGGCTGCTGGAGGTGAAAGTGGCACAGGATGTGTGGCCAAGGCGCCTCCTGGTGGCCAGTGAGGTTTGCTCTGGGGCAGGAGAGCAGGCTGGGTGCGGTGGCCAGAGAGGCCAGGAGGGCGCCTGTGGTGCCTGGTGAGGCAGTGACCTAGAAATGAGGAATCCTGGAGGACAGTGCTCCCCGCCCAGACTGCAGGAGTATCTCCACTGTGCACTACTGAGTTTGCTGCTGGGGGGTTGAACTGCCTCCCCAGGGACATGCTGGAGGCTCAAGTCCATGGAGAAAGACGAATGTGACCTTATCTGGGGACAGGTCTTTGCAAACGAGTGAGTAAAGGTGAGGTCATGAGGGCAGGCCCTAATCCAGTGACTGTGTCCTTACAAAAGGGGGGTTTGGACATGGACACAGACATACAAGCAGGGAGGCCGCTGTGTGATGGAGAAGGAAGAGGTCGAGGTGGGGGCGATGTGTCCGCAGACCAGGAAACCCCAAGGACTGACGGCCAAGCAGGGCGGGAAGGGCAGTGGCCAAGGAGCAGCTCCACCTTCCAAGTCTCCAGGGAGAACCTGCCCTCCATCCGGGACTTCTGCCTCCAGGGCTGGGAGGCAACAAATGTCTGTAGTTCTAAGTCTCACCAGCGAACTAACACAGTTTGACATTGCTTTTCTTGGCTGCTTTCATACGACAGAGTCAGGACACAGCCGGCTGGCAGGTACCTGGGCCTCCCACAGCTGCCCACTCCTGCAGGGACCCATGGCTTCTCTTCCCTCCCCCTGCCTCCTGCCTCCAGTGTGGAGGGTTTAGGCTGTCTGGATCAATCTAACTTGGGGAGCAATGCAAAGGCGGTGGGGGTCCAACAGTCTTAGAGTCCCCAGGCCCAAGTCTGGGAGCATTTTCTTCCTCTTGAAGCCGAAAGAAACCCAGGATGCTCCTTCCACACAGCCTCCTTGGGGCCTCCAGCTGGTCCATTCCCACCTACAACCCTCGGCTGTAGCCTATCCTGGGGTCATGCCTGTGTGACCCCCACCTGGCCTTACCTCTTTGCCCTGCCTCCATAGGCTGATGGGCAAGGGCAGGCCCTGCCCTCTGTTAGGTGGAGGGAGAAGGGAGGTCACCAAGTACCAGGAGGACAGGGAGGAGTCAGCATGGCTTCCCCTGGGCTCCCACCTACAGGAGGGTATTTCAGGCTGATGAGCACAGGGGCCTGGGGCTTTGGAGAGGTGCTGGAGGGTCTCAAGGCCAGATCCCAGGGTCCTGACCCAGTCCTGGGGGAGGGGGTAATAAAGAGAGTGGCTGTGTGTCTGCCCTTGGGCACCCACGGGAGGCATGGGCTGTGGTGGCACCACCAAAGCCCGTGGAAGATCAGGGAGGAGTCCACTTAGGGATGGCGGGCATAGAGACAGAGGGCTGGAGACAGAGCTCAGGGAGGCGGGTAGGGGCCAACACTGCCTCCCATACCCAGATCCCAGATACATGTAGAGCCCTCCCTGCAGATACAGAGCATTGTAACATAGGCTGAGTGGTCAGCCGGTCCCAGAGTGGCGTTGGGTGAGGTGTGAGCAGAGCAGGAACCAGGACCAGGCCTGGAACCCTCCTGGGGCTTCCTATGCTCCTCTGGCCCTGGCCAGGCAGGACAGCCACATACCTGTGCCTTTGCCTCACTCCTTCCTGGGCCCGCTCCACACCAGACCCCTAAGGGAACCCTCCCCGCCCCAGTGTGCCCAAGTATCAGCTGTGGGGAAAGCCCAAGAAGAATGTAAACACACGTCCAGATAGCCAGCCCCCCAAGAGTGGAGGCTGCAGGAAAGCCACTGAGATGCACACAGCCACATGCATGGCCACGAGGAACAGCTTCCTGGTGTGGCTGGGAACAGTTCCTTTTTTGAAGCCAGCCTTACCCGACGCAACTCCTGTA